TCTCTGCTTCTTATTCTTTTTGTATTTAGTTTTTCCTGGCAGTCATCACTGTCTATTCCTAGTTCAAAACTTCCCTTACAGCTGAATTAATAGCTTTAGCAAACAAGCCAGATAATAACCTCCTTGAAAAATGATAATAGATTATAAAGGCAAGATTTCACTTTGGTGGATTCATGTTGGTTTTCTCTTGTGCGTATTTCACTAAATTATTTCACAAACTTCTATTATCAGACAACAGAATTTTTCCTACTGCAGAAATACGACTTGTTGGCATAAAATTTCCAGAGCAACATTTATCAGCCACTTTTAAATTGTAGTAATATTAGTAACTCTCCAACCTTCAGACACCTGCACACTCTATGTTGACCTACCAAAATGAGTGTGTGTGTGAGTGTGGGGGGTCATATGTGATCTTTGACCTATTTTAAAACCTTGGAGAAAACTGCCTGGTTTTCATGTTTTGTATATTTTATTGACTTTATGGTTGTATAGCCATATTGTGTTGTGTTCATTAGTATCAATATATTTGTAATGATACATCTGTTAGTAAGTAGCAAAGAATATGCAGTTTAATTGCACAAGGTTCCAGTGAACAAGAAATTTTTCAATTAAATTAGACAAAAGAGACTGATTATATATGGTGACTTTAGTAGCCTTTTACTCACCACTTTGAACCTATATATATATATAAAAGAATTTGAATTATTCATCAGACAAGCTGTTTAAGATACTTTAAGTAGATATGAAGGCCAATCTATCATTCAATTCACCACTTGTCATTGATTTATCCTATAAGAAGCCTGGGGTTGTTTTTTCAATTTGCCTTTGTCTAAGACTACTGATGAGGGGTGCAATTCCATGAAAATGGTATGACTCAGTGACAAGCAGTGAATTGATTGATAGATTTGGCATCATATTTATTTTTTAGTATGAACACATACTTATGTGCTTTTATGCAGGAATTGAGGTAAGAGCAGGAAAATCACACAAACAAATCATTGAGTTTTTACACATGCTTCTGTTCAAATGTAGGAAAGAGTTTTAAATGTAAATGATGTTTTTATGGAACTAACAGAATTATTATAAAAAAAATAACTTGAACTTCTGGGTGGTAGTCATTGAAGAACTTTGATATTTTTTCTGCTACTTATGTTGCTGACTTTCTCAGCTGTAAAAAGAAAAAAAGTGAGGTATCATGCTTAAAGAACAACATAATTCTACAGAGTGATGAGCAAATAAAAATTATACAGCAGAAAAATATCATGTCACTAAGTTAAAAGAAGTAAGAAATTCTCACACTAGTATTCCAACTGATATACCTGTTTACCAGGTGTCAGTCAAACATTGGAAATCTTAGGTTTTTGTAGAATTATGATATATCAATACTTATTAGAGATTCAAATGCCATCACTGATATTTTTGTGTGATGTTTAATTATACCAAAAATGTTACTATATGCGAAAAAAATTTAATGAAAAATTTACAAAAGGTTAACAGAAAGTAGGCCACTTTTCTAAGAGCATCCTGATGTTCAGGATTTGTAAGCCTTGAAGATAACTGTACCACTTCTGTTATCAGATTTTGTATTAATTCTTCTTTACCAAGGTTAGCTGTTATTTTAAAATTGTAAGTATTAAAAACAGAGATATCCTAATTATTTGTGTTGGAATACTATTAATTGATTTGCAACTACTAGGTCATACATACTCATTCAAGATATAATCAGAAAAATTTCCTCTTACATCATTAGAATCAGTAATAAAAGTAATTTTTTTTTTATCTGATGTCTTTTCAGTTTCTTAAGTTTATCTAAATGTTTTTATTTATTTTTGATTAAAATTGTGTATTGATAAAGTTTATCAAAATTCTCAGTCCTACATAAGTTACACTTTGATTTTAAAATTCAGTTGTAGTTTTTTCAGTGAATGTGTTTTTAAGATATTTTAAAATTAACAAAATTGGGTGTGACATTATTATTTTTATGAAATTCTAAAATGTTTTGATGTAAATTATTTTTCTAATATTTTGAGGTTAATGTACCATGTTCAAGAAAAAAAAAATTCTAAAGTTCAACAAGGAACTGTTTTGAATCATCAGTATTAATCCCCAAATGTTCTTACAATTTCATAATTTTGCATATATACTTATTGGAGGAATAGAGTTGTCAAATGGTCCATCCTTATTCTGCAGTCAACTAGTGCTACCAATCACTGGCAATCAGTTCATTTAATATTCTTGAAATAGGGAAAAAGTTTACAAGAGTCTTAACAGATTGAGGCCACATATCAATCATCAGTTTTATATCAAAGCATTTAAAAAGCACATAACATAATATTAGTTGATCGAGTGCCACATATTGACTTCATTTTGAACTTTAAAACTAGTTTAGAGGTCAAGATTTTGTTTTGGTTGAAGCCTGTAGTAAGGTATGGAGTTCAGTAAATAAGAAATAAGTATTGAATGTTTTGCCATTTTTAAATATGAAATTGGAGTATACACTTGATATTAAACAAAAATATTGGTTTGTATTTGATGAATTGTAATAACTAATATCTTGTTAACCTTGCAGATAATTCTAAGTTTGGACAAAAACTTTTAGAAAAAATGGGATGGAAGAAAGGAAAGGGACTTGGAAAAAATGAAGATGGCAATCCAGAACATATCAAGGTCTCATATAAAAATGATAGCACGGGTAATATGATGATTTTCAAACTTATTGCTAAAATGTAGAAATCAAAGGGGGAAATTAGAGTAATAAATAAATTATAGACTGATATTTCATTATAGGTTCAGCAGCAGCATTGTTCCTAGATGCTATAGTTTAACCCTGTGTTCACAGGTGGGTTCAAAGAGTACAAACCACAGCCTCTTACAGAGTACCATTTAACATGGTATGTGTTTGATATCACTTATCAACTATTCATTTTACCCTATATTGCTGATTTGGTGACAGTTCATGGTAGAGGAGATTAAATGCCAGATACAATATAGAGAGATACTGGAAAAACTAAATTTGCATCTTGAAGTTTCTAGAAGTTATGCAATAGGCAAACTATATGATGGACAAAAGTAATTTTATTCTTTATACAAACATCACATTGCTCTCTGACTTGTCAGACTCTGAGACAGACAGACTGTCATCAATTCACAGATATCCTGAGTACAAATATTTGTGTAACAAATCTGATTATTGTGTACAACAAATTTGTACATCTTACTAAAAGCTGGTCACATTTTGTGTAGATACACATGGTAAATTTGAAATTATAGTCTTTATTCCTATAAGGGATACGTGTCCCATTGTATCAAAATTGAGGGAACATGGTGAATATTTTGAGGGACACTAAGGATAAACAATTACATTTAATTGTTGGAATAAGATCATGTTAGCACTATTTTGTTAGTTTCTTCTACATTAAACAAGTTATTGTTACAATTTTACAATTTTTTTGTTTCCTAGTTTCTTCTACATTAAACAAGTTATTGTTACAATTCTACAAATATTTTAAATTTTTAAAGGAAAATTTTAAGTAATGTACTCTGCATGGATGTGACACGTTAGAGGTATGTAAATTAGTTTTGCTCAACCCATATTATCGTGGGTGGATGCATCACCAGCACACTGAGATTAACATTGTAAGTAGTAAAAGTTTGGAGATGGCTTGAATAGGTAATGAAGAAAACTTTATTATAAATGAACAACGTTTTGACAAAGCCTAATTATGACATAATTTTGTCGAAATGTTGTACACTTATAATAAAGGTTTCTTCATTACTCCTTCAAGGTGTCTCCAAACTTTTATTTTCTAAAAATAGTGGGTTATTTGTTATCAAATTTAAATCAATAGTAGTTCAGAGGTTCTCTTGGGTAATATCACTATAGTGTATCAATGCTACAGATGCTCTTATCCTTTAATTACCTTTTACGTGAAGACTTACATTAATGAATAATAAACAACATAAAGAAATGTAAAAATAGTCATGCACATGGTCATGATCAGTGTGGCTGGTGCATCAGTTGCTTATCATGAGTGTGAGGCTTGCTAAATCAATAGATAAATTTTTCACCTTATTTCAGATCTAGTGGAATTCCATGCTTGTAGCCCTCTGATTTGTCAAAAGTGAAACAAATATATAGTCATGTTTATTACTTAAAACAAAGTCCTATTCAGTAATATAGCCTGTTTCTGGAAACTTGGATTTGAAAGCTCAAAATGACAGATACACTACTGAGTCTGCAATATACTATTGTCTAGAGAACACACAGTTAACAAATGTGTGACTCCCCCGATCCTTCCCTTTTGGCAAAGTGCTGAACTTGGATTGTCATTGGTAAATGTGATAGCTTAAATGCTCTAATGCATGCTCATAAAAATTAATTTTTTTATCATTTAGGTATCTGTATGACAAACTAATAATTTTAATGCAGAAAGTTAATATATTATTAAGTTTTTAAATTTTTGGTAACATGTAACTGTTCTCACTTCATGTAGCATGCATGCTAATTCAAAACTACATGGTGCTTTCCAGTAGTTGTAACTTATGTATTAGGATTCCTTTGATAAAATAAAATATTGAGTGCTTTCAAAAGATTTATAGCTATATTTTTTCATTGTTATTATTTAACAATTAATTATTAAGCCTACTTCATAATTTAAAGTTACACAATTTTTTTTCATATCCCAATGTCTATAAAAAAAAAACTTATGACCTAGATTTTCCGAATATTGATGTTTTTTATACTAGATGTTTGTAACAAATAGAAAGTAATATGAATTAGATTCATAACTTTATTTAGCATACATTCTGTTAGAGTTTACCTTTTTTTAAATTTTAAATAGTTCATGACTTAATTACATTCAATTCTCCACAGCTTATTGCAATCATATTTTGAAAGTTTTAACTAATATCCAGTAATTGCCATGATTAAAAAAAATTAAATTTATTTTACTATAATTCATGTACAGAAATATACTTACTTGCATATCTTTTAACAGGTATCGGCTACAAAGGCTATGATGACACTTGGATTACTTATCAAAGTGATTTTAATTCACTTCTAGCAAATCTAAATGGATCTGAATGCAATTCTTCCACCTCCTTCCCTGATAGTATTGACACAAACAACCAATTTCCAAGTCTGGAATTAAAATCCAAGAAATCAAGAAAAAGAGTTCAGTAAGTTAAGAAGATTTAAAAAATTTTGTTTTTGTTTTTATGTAATTTTTTGTAAAAATTATAAAAAAAAAGAAATGACTTTTGAACAAACAAAGTTAACCATTCTCTCTCCAAGTAACCATAGAGATCACAACCCATTCTAAACCTGTGATACTTGTGATGGGTGTTGCACCGATAGCCCATTGTGTAGTTTAGCACAAACAAACTACCACTTTTCCAATGTGTTCAGATGTATGTACCTCTCCACATGTTTAATTTAATTAACACTCTAGAGGAGTTTAGCATAGGCTTTCCTTCCTCCAATTATGATGTCCCGTCAGTACAGTTGTTAGTGTACAGTCAAGGTAGCATGGTGCCATCCTTAATTCTGAAGCCAGAAACCACTTTTAATTTGTACTTTATTTATTACACTTTAACTTAAAGAAGAAAAAAACAAGTCCCAAGCATAAATAAGATGATGGTAATGCTACTATTATACGCTTGAGGATGGACTCCTTTACTTGTACTACTATTATATGCTTGAGGATGGATTCTTTTACTTCTACTACTATTATATGCTTGAGGACAGATTCCTTTACTTCTACTACTATTATATGCTTGAGGATGGATTCTTTTACTTCTACTACTATTATATGCTTGAGGATGGATTTCTTTACTTCTGCTACTATTATATGCTTGAGGACGGATTTCTTTACTTCTGCTACTATTATATGCTTGAGGACGGATTTCTTTACTTCTGCTACTATTATATGCTTGAGGACGGATTTCTTTACTTCTGCTACTATTATATGCTTGAGGACGGATTCCTTTACTTCTGCTACTATTATATGCTTGAGGATGGATTCTTTTACTTCTACTACTATTGTATGCTTGAGGATGGATTCTTTTACTTTTACTACTATTATATGCTTGAGGACGGATTTCTTTACTTCTACTACTATTATATGCTTGAGGACAGATTTCTTTACTTCTACTACTATTATATGCTTGAGGATGGATTCCTTTACTTCTACTACTATTATATGCTTGAGGACGGATTCCTTTACTTCTACTACTGCTATATGCTTGAGGACGGATTCCTTTACTTCTGCTACTATTATATGCTTGAGGACGGATTCCTTTACTTCTACTACTATTATATGCTTGAGGACGGATTCTTTTACTTCTACTATTATATGCTTGAGGACGGATTTCTCTACTTCTGCTACTATTATATGCTTGAGGACGGAATTCTCTACTTCTGCTACTATTATATGCTTGAGGACAGATTCCTTTACTTCTACTACTGCTATATGCTTGAGGACGGATTCCTTTACTTCTACTACTATTATATGCTTGAGAACATTTTCTTTTCCTCCAGTAATCTTCTCAAAGTTCTTTCAGTTATAAGTCCTAGTTCAATTAAGTTTTAAGTAGCATCCGTCATTTCCACTTTTTAAAGACAATGGAAATTAACCAAGCCAAATTTCATGCCTTTCCTAATCAACATGCTATGTTATACGTTAAATATTATTTACTATACTGTATGTTAAATATTTTTTATTATCTGTTAAATATTATAACAATAATAAGTAATAAGGTTTATGTTCTATAGATTAAATATTTAAAAATTACCAAATGTTTAGTGGTTCTATGTGTTAAATGTATTAATAGTCTGTTTAATATAGCATCAGATTTTGCCTAAGAATAAATGTGACATGACAAGCTTGCACTTATTTCTTATATTATTTCATTCCTCACTTTCTATACCATTCTTTTCTTCAAACTAATCTCACACAAGCAGTTTAAATCAAGGGAATCAAGATGCCTTTAGTCTATCTACACTCAAGATAGGGTCTTAAACTTGAATAAGTGAACTCTGAACTTGTAGCATGAATTTGATGTTTGGTGTTGATTACAAAATGAAGATTATGATATCTATACTGACCAGATACAAAATTTAGGCAGTTTTAAGTTCCAGAAAAGAGGGTGAAGAATTAAGTGTGTAATTACATTGATAATCCTCTGTTACTGTCAGTAGTTTGAGACGTTTTAATTTTATAGTAAACTTGAATATAGAAAACCTACAGGTTGGGATAAAAGACATTATGCAGCCATGCAGTTGGTACTATACAGATAGTATCATTGGTATTATACAGTTGGTACTAAAGAAAATATTACAAATTATAAGAACTTGTGGGGGATATTAAAAAAGAATGTAACAATGTCTCAACCACTATACCATTTATATCCAGTGCTGAGGAGGTTTTTTAATACCAGGATTCATCAGGTTGTGTAGGATCACACAGCGATTTCAAATCAGGAGGAAAAGAAGTAAGTTTGAACCTCAAATCTGGCTCGACATCTAACCTGTTCCTGTACTTGTTTTTTAAGAAAACCGATGTTGAGAAGCCTGATTCGCATTTATAAGTCGTGACAAAGGGCATAAGAATTTCTCTGCTTTTTTCTGATAAATTTGGATAGACAGCACGACAGCTCAGCCAAAAATTAATTAACAAGACTTGACTAAAACAGTCTTTCAGTGCGGTGTCACAGGACAGTTCAATAATAGAATCAATTTCTGATTCACTGAGTTGTAATCCTTCTTCATTTTCCATGTCAACAGTAAAAGGGTTTCTGATTCACATTTTACTGCTGTCAATTGGAGGAAAATATTC